CATGTGGATGAGTCACGGCTAATGCTTGGCCAATGTGCTCTCTGTGAAAGCCTGAGAGAGTATCTTCTCCCCATGTGACTCAGGAGATTAATCTTGAATATTAAAATTCTACTGTTCAATGATTTTTTATAATCATTTTACTGTTTATTTTTTACAAAGGTAAAACCACAAAGGATTTAAATATAGCTGTCCAGATGATGAAAAGGATTCACTCCTTGATGGATAAATACTCAGAAGTATTGCAAGATGCAGATCGGCAGCTCATAAGCAGATGCCTTCAGTATTTGGGATTTGATAAATTGGCAAGTTCTTTAAATACAGATCAGGTAATACTTGAATAGCATATTAGGTATACATGCATTTCTTAAAAATGCAGAAATATCCTTTAAATTTTTTACTTAAAATATTGTCATTGTTAGTTATCCAAATGCCCACTGTTGAAGTAATATAGATTTAGAAATCTTGTATAAATGCTGTTCTAGGCAAACAGAATAAATTTCAGATAATTGTGTGGTCCTTAGGACTAATCCTATAATTAGTTGTAGCAAAACATCTCAAAACTATAGTGTGATTATTTCATTTTAAAAAACTATCTGGAGACCCAGTCCTAGCCCAGGTCCGGTGAGTGTGTGGAGAGCTTCCTGCTACCCTGTGCCAGCGGGACCAGTCCTAGCCCAGGCGCAGCTAGCGCCAGACACTCTCCCACCCCCTTGGGCCGCCCCCCACCACTCCGCAGTACCTCCCGCACCCCGCCCGCAGAGTAGGAATTAGTGCCGAGTTCCGGAAACCCTCAGACGCAGTCCTATCCCAGACCCAGTGAGTGTGTGGGAGAGCTTCCTCTTCCCCCTACTTCACCTTGCCCTCTCCAGGCACAGCTCAGGCCTGGCATACACGCCTGGGGTGTAATCCTGCAGCTGCAATCCCTGCAGAGAGTGGAGAGGATAGATCCAACCAGCTAGTCCAGGAGCAGAACATCTCGCCATAGGGGCACAACAGGTTCACCCTCAAGGGCAGCAGCAGGAAGGAGCTGAGCACAGCAGCCAGATGCAAGCCAGATGCAGCTGGATAAGTCCAAACTTTGTAGAGCTGCACCTGAACTTCAGTATGTGCGAAGGTTATAACTACAGCAAAGATCTACAACAAAGGTCAGAAGACAGTGTTCCACAAAATGACGAGAAGGAACAAAATGCAACCTCAGAACCCAAGCCCACCCATAACAAGTGCAGAGGTCACTAACACAGAACACATTGGAAATCACACAGCTGAAAGCAGTGAATCAATGGCTTCTGAAATAAAGAAGCAGCTGCAGAAAGATATAGAAGACATCAGATTGGAAATGAAAAAAGAAATCCCTGAATTAATAACATTTGCACTAAAGAATCAAATGCAGAAACATATGGAAG